AAAACACCTTTGACGCATCAACCGGTTTCCTCCCCCATTTGATCTCCACGGCATTGTTTAGGACTCGGTCAATTACTGCAAGGTGATCCAACCGGTCAGTCCTAGAGAAGATCAACCCCGATTGCTCTTCAGAAGGCCAGATCCTAAAGTGAAACTCAAAGACTTTGGCCACCTCATGAAAAGGAGAACAGCCGAATGCTGGGGACAATTGAGGCAGGGGTGGGATTCAAATGTTTTTAACAACCGGTTCTGTGGGCGTGGCTAGGTGAGCATGGCTAGGTGGGCATGGCCATGTGACTGGGTGGGTGTGGCTTTTTTGTTGAAGCATTTCCCCTACCCCCCAATTTTTTTTGGCCTTCTGGGCCCCAGGGAAGCCTCCTGGGGGGGCATTTTTGGTCCCAGAAGGCTTCCCTGGGGCCCAGGAAGGCAAAAAACAGAGCCGGGAGGGTGAAACACCCCCTGTGCTCCATTTTTGGGCCCCCTGGGTCTCAGGGGTGAAGCAGTAAGGAAGCGGGGGGCGGGATCCTGGCACAGTTGATCCTAGGAACAGCTGATTGTTGGGAGGAGGAAAAATACCTTAAGGAGTGACTGGGTGGAGAAGAACACAGTCAGCGCTATTGGGCATGTGCAATAAGGACTGACTGGGTGAAGAGGGGAAGGGAGATAGGGGAGGGGCCAGCCAGGGGCACGATTTGTGCAGAATCATAACAACCAGGTCTATCGAACCAGTCCGAACCGGTAGAATCCAACCCCTGAATTGAGGGCAATAGAAGAAGTGGATGGCAGAGAGAAGGAGGCGGCTGGATGGAGTCACGGAAGCAGTCGTGGTGAGCTTAAATGGACTCCAGAAGATGGTGGAGGAGAGGAAGGCCTGGAGGAATGTTGTCCATGGGGCCATGATGGGTCAGACACGGCTTTGCAACTAACAACAACCACCACCGTTACTGTATACTATTTTTATAAAATTTTATTAAGATAGACTTGGTATGACTTTATGATTCGTTGTAAAATAAATTAAACAAATTATAGTTATCTCGTTAAAGTATGACTTAACAAAATTATAGTCAAATGATTGTTTAGTAATGATATTAGGCTATATAATTGTTGATTGATAATATGAGCTATTATGTAATATAACTACAATGGAGACTATGAAATGGATGCACAAAAAAAGTGGTAAACCAACCGATACACTGTCTGTAAATTTATGAAGGAGGGTGATGCTTTTATGTTTCATGTTTTATGTGTTTTTGTTCGTTGTTAAAGTCAATAAAACTTTTTTTCAAAAAAAAAAAACCAACCACCATTACTGCAAAAACATTGTCCAGAAATTCCTCATCCATCATTCTCTCCTTTCCATCTCCAGCGGCTCCTACCAACATCACCCTGAGTTTTCGAAGCTGACCCTTTTCTATCCAATCCCCAGCGTTGCGGGGTTTTAACCCTTCTGGATCTACAGGCTACTTTCCCCCAAAAAAACCCCTCGTCTTTTGCCTCTTTCTGCATGAAAGAAGGGTCAACAAAGAAAATCTGAAGACTACATTAAGTTAATGCTGCGTCAAGCCAAAGCATTGTTCGGCTGTTTGTGGTGAAAGTTTGGCTAGTAAATTCCTGCCATGCTTTTCTGTAGGTGGATGCCTGATTGAGTTTCTTTGAATAAAGAGGGGAGAACAAAGGCTTTCAGCCCGCTTTGTAATCTGTTTGTTGAGCTGGCTTTGCACTTCTCTCTTTCCTAGAAAGTATTTTCTTTTCTTCTTTTTTTTTTCCTTTCCACGCCTTATTTTCTCCTCCTTTTTTTATTTTTTTTATTTTCCCACTTATTTATCACAGAGGCGTTTTGTCACTTTCCACTGTCTTAATTTAGATCACATTCTCATGAAACTCCCCTAATATTTGAAACTGAGACTCATCTGGAAGGAAGGGAAGGTTTTTAATAAAAAGGCAAGATGAAAAAAAGCCCTGCCTTGAGAAACATCTGTTCTAACATCGTACTTCTCGCCGAAACTCATCAGAAGCCTCCACTCTGATCCAGGATCTCTTGATTTCTGATTTCTTTCCCCCCCAATTTCAACATATTTGCAGATTTATTATCTTTTACACTTCAAAAAACATGACCTCACCCCTTTCCTAAGAGGTCTGTAGGGGGGCGTGCATAAGCGCACCAACGTGCCTATCGTCCCTGTCCTATTGTTTCTTTTATTTTTTATTTTTCTTATATGTATCCATGTATTCATAAATATGTTTTTACTTATACCTATTATGTTGTAAGCAATTGACAAAAATAAATAAATAAAAATAAATAAAATTATCCCAAACTCTCCAGGCTCCACAAGCTGCAGTACACATTATATGAATGTATATATATATATATATATATATACCCATGGTCTAAATTCAAAAATTATTTGCAAATCTGGCTCAAACATTTGGCAAATGAGGTCCATCTAGATACCAACAGGCCACCCTCACCCCCCACAGCTAGGAAAGGGAACAAGGAAAGGGAAGGAGAGGAGAGGAGAGGAGGGGAGAGGAAAGGAAAGAGAGAGAAAGAGAGAAAGAAAGAAGGAAAGGAAGAAAGAAGGAAGGAAGGAAGGAAGGAAGGAAGGAAGGAAGGAAGGAAGGAAGGAAGGAAAGAAAGAAAGAAAGAAAGAAAGAAAGAAAGAAAGAAAGAAAGAAAGAAAGAAAGAAAGAAAGAAAAAGAAACACATTTCCTATTTCATTTGAGCATTTTTGCTTTCCAATCAAAAATATAGATCTTTGGCCAAAGAGATTTTTGTTGTGCAATAATTGCAAAGCTCAGGGCTCAATGATTGGAGTGTTTTCACTGGTTGTTTGCTTTTGTTTGTTCTTCAGCTGAAAAACCCCAAATAGATTAAAAAGGAATCTATAATTGTTTGCTTTTTATAACTGACATGTGATATCACAAATTATCAACTTTGGAGTTTTATTGCACATGGATGCCTTCACAAGAGCTGATTTTAAATGCCTTGTCTTGACAAACACACCACTGATTTCATTGCTCCCCAAAGGTAAATCATTTTTCAAAACATGTTCATTTTATTGTAATTTAGACCTTTTATGTTAATTTATCTGGCAATTCAATCACATCTTATAGGCTTCAAATTGAAGATGGAGATTGAAGCTGTTGTACTCTGACATTCAGTAATTTGGATGAGACAATTGTTGGTGCTGCCATTGAACATGTCTTCCCTTGTAAATCTCGGGCTCTATTTGGTCATTTCTGATCTTAGCAACTTTCAGATATGTGGATTTCAACTTCCAGAATTCACCAGCCACACAATCTATGCATTTCCAGATATGTCTCCCAATATAACAGAAATAATTCATAATAGCCAAAGACAGAGGCAAAAGCAGAGGCGAATAATCATTATTATTTATTGTGTGGCACATTCATATCACACCTCAATAAAAACATGACAAAAACACAAAAGATGAAATATAAAATCCAAAATACAGAGGAGGAGGAGGAGGAGGAGGAGGAGGAGGAGGAGGAGGAGGAGGA